AGCTGAAGCGCTAACAATCGTATGACGTCAAAATATGACTCATGCCGTGCCCGGAGTTCGAAAACCGTTCGATCAGCTGTACAGATTTATTTTACTGACTTTCACTGCTTTATTTAAGTTATTTTATACATTGAGTGGTTTGTACACTCAACTTAAACATTATTAACCATTTTTATAGCAGTTTTAAGCTTGTCAAAATCTGTTTCACTGATTTTAAAAATCCTGTCGAGAGGCAGACGCCATTTTGTTTACATGTCATATATTCGGTCGCGACCTTTAACATAAAATAAAATGATGTTTTGTACATTTAACATGGCGGTAAGATAAATACGTTGTATGCTTCTCCCTCGGGTAATACGGACTGATGTACGCCTTTTTGTAGCCTACCGGCTCGGGTGACACTGGAACAAAGAGGCGTACATCAGACCGTATTACCCTCGAGAAAAGCATACAACTTATAGTATATCATATAGTTTTACCTGTTTATAGTACTGCTGTGTGGTCTGTGTGTAAGATGTTTCCGTCTGTGCGTTTGTTTTCAGCTTTTGCCTCTGTACCAGTTAAATCCGGTACAGGCGACAGGCCAATCTATAAACAAGTCTGCAGTGACAGCCGTGAGGGCCAAGTATTTGACCCGACGCACGATGGCCAATAGTCGCTATCGTCCTGCCGTTACTACATAAATGACAAGTTGAATGACCTAGACTGGAAAGGTATCACGGCAGATCCATGAAACGGAGATAGGATCGAGGTTCTTTATGAAAAGAGAAATTAAAGAACACCCGTTGACTGGTTAATTATACACGAAAGTATAAATTTGAAAATAACAATTTCATTCACTGTGCCTACATGTTGGAAAGGAAAATCGTTTTAAGTTTCAAGATTTGACAGGTACACGCTTAGGATAAATGTTTTGCGAACAGATGATATCGAAGTGGAACATATGTTACAAATTGACGGATATATGAGAGAAGGACGTAACTTTGTAACTTACGTAACTTTGTGTTCAGGTTAACGTTGCTGAGCAAGAACATTTTGCATGAAGTATTAATCTGAGAACCGACGTTCTTGCCGCGAACAACTGCCATGCAGATGCAAAGAGTTTCTTACATGTGTTAAGAGTCAAATGCTTGTACAGAGTGCTTTATATGATTGAAACTCCCTCGCTCTCTCTCCCTCTCTCTCTCTCTCTCTCTCTCTCTCTCTCTCTCTCTCTCTCTCTCTCTCTCTCTCTCTCTCTCTCTCTCTCTCTCTCTCTCTCTCTCTCTCTCTCTCTCTCTCTCTATCTGTGAATCCATATTCCTTTCTAACACTAGCTGCTTTTTCGTTCTCGTCAACGGATCCTCTCATGGCTGCAGGGACGGTGGGGTAACCTAATGGTTAAAGTGTTCGCTCGTCTCGCCGAATATTCTTCACATGTGAGTGTGTGAGCGTACATGTGTATGGAATTAAGCGCTCTATAAGCAACCTTATTATTGTTATTTCTAATCTGTGAATCACATTCCTGGTGTCCCCAGCCGGAATATTGCTGGGAACATATATACAAAAACGACGTAAAAACTAAACTCACTCACTCTTAAGGTTGCGATGCGCCATTAACACATTTACACTTGAACTCACTTAACCTCTCTATTATAGATCTTTCACATCACCTTTAAACATATTATCACTGTCGCGTCACTTGGTATTACTATTCATGATATATGAAGTATGTAATTTCGGTCTCTCGTATCATTCTGTAGCCTATTAGTATCACGTTGTTGCTAAATGACATCATCCTGTAACACAATGTCAACTTTAAATCACCTCAGATCCGGGTTAGAACTGACCTTCAGTAACCCATGCTTGTCGTAAGAGGCGACTAACGGGATCGGGTGGTCAGGCTCGCTGACTTGGTTGATACATGTCATCGTATGATCAATGCTAATGCTATTGATCACTGGATTGTCTGGTCCAGACTCGATTATTTACAGACCGCCGCCATATAGCTGGAATATTGCTGAGTGCGGCGTAAAACTCACGATATAACCTCATCCTGTAGTTATAGGTCAACCGCATCATATTTCTGAATCGTAACAGTTTTTATCTCATTCGCTTCACAATATCCTAAATATTGTTATCTCATTCTGCGGCAGAATAATAACACTGTTGTGGAATAAATTAAGTTTTAAAGTAGAATAATTATTATATTAATATCTTATTCTGCAGTAGAATATTGACAACATATTTTATTATTTAAAAATATAACAATTATCTATGAGCCATACCATGTTTGGCAGATTCATGGTCAATCTGGTCAAGTGTTCATGACGCCTGAACCTAAGCTAACATTTGAAAAAAAGACCGTTTGAAATTATCTCCAATAAACTAGGACGCATTTTTCGCTATCTGTGGATAAGGTCTGTGTAGGGTCGAGAGAGCAGACCGTGAACTGGTGTTACTGAGTCGGTAAGTGTTGAATTGTTCAGCCTTTGTGCCCTTTCATGTATTATAATGATTGTTATCAATTACGGCGTAGTTGAAATTATATTGTTTCACACAACGTCCAGTACGAAATATTCTTGCTTCGCTATGTTGTATCGTATTGAGGACTTATTATGATGTGTCATCCTTATACAAGATTTGACTGCAGAATACGCCACGAGAAATGAAGGTATCTGCTTTATGGTCATATATGATCCTGCTTCCAAATATATTGCTATTGGCTTTATTGAGTACACGAAAACGGATAACGTACAGTTTAACTACAGGGTTACAATAACCCAGCGAAACTGATTTTTGTGATTCGAACCCACGACTCTGTCACGACTAGGGAGCGATATATACCGGTAGTGTGTGTGTGCGTGCGTGCGTGCGTGCGTGCGTGCGTGCGTGCGTGCGTGCGTTCGTTAGTGAGTGTCCATCCCTATCTCTCTCTTTCTTTCTTTCTCTCTTTGTCTGTGTCTTTCTCTCTCTATTTGGGCTTCAGTCATTCAGTGATTCAGTTTGCTAGCAATAATCTACTAGGTCAGGGTTTTCTGTCCGGTCATCTACCAAGCCACCCAAAGGTGGTCACAGACCAGTTCTAGCCCGAAATCATCCGGATTTGTAAACTCAACTTGTTGACAAACTTTACTGTCTGGAACACACCAACATAAATCAACAGTGTTTGACACATCTAAATACAAATACTTTTGCATCGGTGATTAATATTATTGTAAACTTATTCAAAACTTATGGGACCCATATTATCCTCGATTTTGGCTATGTATCTACACCGATGTAGATCAATCAATTTTGAAAATAAAACGAACATAAAAAGAATATTTTGCTGGAATGGGAGGGATGGACTGGGCAACATGAGGATATGACAGGTGATGAGGTACCCTTGTTAGACTCCATGGAGTGAGTGAGTGAGTTAATATTTAATGTCACATTGGCAATATTTCAGCCATATCGTGACGAGAACATTACATTGTGTATATTATAAAACCTGTCATCGAAGGACAGTAAAACAACTAGAATATCACAATTAGATTTAAAACTAGTGTGGAAGGTAAAAACTAATAGCACTATTAGGACAATACAAGATAAAAACATGCTATAGATCGCCAACAACTGAAGGTAGATCTCCATACTAGGGACCATGGGGACTTACAGTACCTTTGCTACCTGCATGGACCCTAGCTGGATTTACACCATTCCTTCAGCCATTGGCAGTTATACTGAGATTTAGCCATACATTAAAATGACAAAAATACTACGATTAAAAACCTGGTAGACTTAAATTTACTTGAAATGTTTTGCGACTTACGTACCCTCTCAGGAGGACCATATTTTTACAGTACTTTAACCCCCTTTGAGGGTACAGCCACTACCAATACAAGTTACTAATCTAAACTACCAATCATTAAAATACATCTATCTACAGAACATATTATTCAAAACTCATCTATTAAATCAATTTCTTTTAAAAAGCCAATAATTAAATGAAAATTAACAGTGTTAAAAAAATCCTTAACTGTTTTCACATTGAAATACTTATCCCTTATGATGGAGAATTCAACACAGTCAATAGACTCCATGGAGAGAGGACAGAGCTTGACAAGAGGGCCATTACATACACCTGTCATTTAATCTTTTAACTGATTTTTGTTGACTGCAATTTGTAATTGAGAATGACCCCTGCATGAGTGGACTCAGATGTTACTCTTGTTTGAACCTCACATCCCACTAGGGCTCATTTTCAAATTAAAAGGAGTTATTTATTACTTGATATATACATTATTTTCAGAGACCAAGCGCCCGCCTCGAATTACAATTTACGTCCATCTGATTGTATGCACCTGATTGCAATTATGTATCAGATGTATCGGTCAAGAGCAAACTTTCAACTGAATACAATCTGCTGATGTTGAAATGTGTGAAATGAATTCATCACACTGACCAACCCCATGCTGTCACATCCTATGAAATGTGTCTCACAATTAAAACATCAAGAAAACAATCGTATGCGTTTTACACGCGTGGTAATACAGATCCGGCTGTGGCTCGCTCGGCCATGTCCCAGTTAGCGTTGAGCAATGGTCACTTGCGTATGAGGTAAGTGGCGATGGACGTTGTGGGAACGGTTTTGTGGGCAAAGTTGAAGTCCACTTGGCAATGATGTCATTTACGTACCTGAAGTCCTGCAAATAGAGAATATCAGTGATATAATTCACTAACATAAAAATATGTAATAACATATTTTACGAACTGGAATGTGTGTTTTCAGCATGTTAATCGTTTCACTGACTGTATGTGATTTAGTAGCTTGTCGTTACAATTACTCTTTCCCATGTTCAGGGCTATGTTCTCTCACACTTTCATGTCCATTAATATGGGCATATAATATTTATGTGACTGATAAATGTACTCGTTTGCGATCCGAATCCTAATCGTGAGATATAGTTGTTTAAAGTTTAGCGAAACGGATTTATATTTTGCAAATATGCATTACGGGTTTTGTTTCAGATTCTAAGATGAAATATGATGCCATCGTCAAGCTGTTGGGCGACTTTGGCCCCTACCAGAAGAGGCTTTACTTCCTGCTATGCATTCCTATGATATCAGTCGGGATCCAGACCATGTTGACAGTTTTCACACTGGGAGTACCAGACCACAGGTACAATGCTACCCGTGAAGGTCCGGGTTAGACTATTGATCTTCAGTAACCCATGCTTGTCGTAAGAGGCGACTAACGGGATGGGATGGTCAGACTCGCTGACTTGGTTGACACGTGTCATCCGTTCCCAATTGCGCAGATCGATGCTCATGTTGTTGATCACTGGATTGTCTGGTCCAGACGCGATTATTTACAAACCGCCGCCATATAGCTGGGATATTGCCGAGTGCGGCGTAAAACTAAACTCACTCACAGGTACAATGCAACATGGAAATTAGAAATTTTCCTTTTCGTTTCTTTTGTATGTGTTTGTATGTCTGTGTGTGTGTTTTGTTTCTTTTTCTTATTGTGTGTGTGTGCCCGCACGCCCGCGTGTGTGTGTAACTGTGTGTGCAACTCCAATCTATGATAACTGTCTTCACACTTGGAGTACCAGACCACAGGTACACAGAAACATGACAGCTAATGTTGAAAGAGAGCCGTGTTTGTTTAATCGCATGATGTGTAACTCACCAACATACTAACGATTGCTTCTGTTCAGGTGTGCTCTGCCTGACTGGGACAACGACACATACACCATTCAGGGAGAACAACACCAAAACGCAGTCCTTGCTGCGATTCCTCCGGCTACTGAAGGGACACAACTCTACTCTTCCTGCCTCATTCGAAACGCCATCAATGAAACAGATGGACAGGCGTTTAACACAAATTCTACTCGAAAATGTGAAAAATGGGTCTACGACTCGGACATGTTCAGTTCAACTGTTGTGACAAAGGTTTGCACTCATTTAATAGACTACCAACGTTAACTAACCACCTTTTACATGTACTCTTCAAAACAGTAGGGGAACCTGAACTTTCAATTTGGATAGGAAGTATAAGCGATAACAAACGTTTCAAACACAGGTATCTTATGAACGCACCATCATTTCTCGCTATCACCACCCCTACACACAACGCATGGGATGCACATACACAACGCAGTATCCCCATACACTTGCATGGAGTGTCATTTTTAGTTTTGACGGTTTTCAAGAAGGTCTATAAATCACCGTAGACCAGTAATTTTGACAATCATTTTGCATCACACAGTTGTTAGTGTTTGTTTCTAGACGTTTTTGTTTTTGTTTGAAAATGAAAACCTTACACATGCAAATTTCACGTCATACACGGATCATCTTTCAAGAGCGACTACTATACAAACAACTATGGTCATAAGGAAGTGCAAGTGGTGATGTACTCTCAAAACATTCATTATTATCATATGAACATTGATTGACTGCTATATATCTCCCAATTTTTTCAATCGTAAAATGAAAATGGAATTCCCCTACTCTTTTAAGAGTATAGTTGAACAACATTCATATACCTGACAGTGTGTAAAACTGATTGGATGAGAAAATTTATTCAGGAGATAATATCTTTTTAATTGTGAGTATTACATCCATTCCTGTTGTCTCCTGCTCTTTACAACAAGAGTGAGTGAGTTAATATTTAACGTCACATCGGCAATATCTCAACCATATCGTGACGAAAACAATTTATACAATAAAAAATGAAAACATTTTGAAGAGTAAAACCTGTCGACGATGGACAGCAAAAATCACAGGATGGACAGAGTATCACAGATATGAACATGAAACTAGCGTGTAAAACTAAAACATTTTAATTAATGAAAACAATACAAAATAAAACACGGGCTTTAGATCGCCAACAAGTGAAGGTAGATCACCATACTAGGAACCATGGCTTTAGAACAAGAACGTTGGGTTGTCCTTATTTTGGCATGCTATTGCTCCAACATTGTGTTACAGTTTGGATGGGTGTGCGACATGAAGCTGACGAAGTCGCACGCTCAGATGATGTTCATGCTTGGATCGCTCGTGGGGAGTGTGTTGTTGGTGTCACCGTCGGATTTGTAAGTGCTTGCAAATTTACATAAACTGTTTTCAAATTCAAAGTTAGGATTACACTATCACGGGATCATTTCTTTTTCAATTCGCAACCTAGTGAGCATCATGTTAGTTTTGACTTACACGTATCTTGTGCCGTGAATTGTGTGTGGAATCTTCAGACTGAAATATAATATGTTAGTGGTAAGCATTATGGTAGGGAATTTGGTTTACACATGTTAGGTTTGGTTTACACATCTTGTGTACTAAATTGTGCGTGGAATCTTCAGACTGAAATATAATATAAGCATAGTGGTTTGGTTTACACATCTTGTGTACTAAATTGTGCGTGGATTCTGTTATCTTTAATATTGGTAAGTTTAGGTTTGGTTTACACGCATCTCGTTCTTGTGCACATCTTGTGTACTGTGCGTGGAATCTTCAGCGCAGTAAATGAAATCTTCAGACTGAAATATAATTTCTAGTGAGCATTCTGTTAATTTTAGTTTACACGCATCTCGTTCTTGTGCGACTGTGCGTGGAATCTTCAGGCTGAAATATACTATCTAGTGAGCATAATGTAAGTTTTAGTTTACAGGCATCTTGTGCCTAAATTGTGTGTGGAATCTTCAGATTGAAATATAATAACAAGTGGGTGTTATATTAGTTTTAGTTTACACGCATCTTGTACGGTAAATAGTGCGTAGACTGAAATTATATACGCTTATGTTCAGTATCGGACGAAAGAAGATGTTCATGGTGTCCGTCTTGCTGCATATAGTGTCCACCATCGTGACAGCCTTCAGCCCCAGCTTTGCCATCATCGGCATCCTCTACTTCATCATCGGGATGTCCGGCATCGCCATCTGGAGCAACGCCTTTGTCGTAGGTAGGAACCCAGTGCATGCAGTAGACCAAACATGCTCTGTCAGGTGGGAACCTTTTTGACATTACGCTGTTGATTGGGTCCTCTTAGGCACCGTAATCAGATTTGCAGACATATGTCTCTTGACATTTCATGCCAGGCAGAGAGGGTTGTGGGTTCGAATTCGAATTCGAGATGATCTACAGTCTACCATTTTTGCACGAAACAAACGTTCAAACATATACATTGCATCTTTAATGCAGGCTTTATTTTATCTTTAGTAGAAACAGTTCCAAGTAGTTTTCTAGTCACTAGGTAAGGCATACGCGTTTTTCTATGTTGGAAGCAATGCAACACATAAGTCTGGTGTCTTAATGCTTCCTACTAAAATATAAAGGTACAATTTCAAAAGACCTCTGGTGTCTTTAATGTATGAAGAATATGCTGTGTCATGTAGCAAAACATGTTATTAATATGAAACAAATATGAATAGTATGTACACAACTAGTGTCGATGTTAGAAAATCCTATCACTAAAAGTGGAGTTACAATAATAATTTACATTCACAGATAAATATGTTTTCGTATTGTGATTATTTGATACTAGTATATTAAAAAATGGTAAATATTCCAATCATGTTGCCGTTACAAGGTTTCAAATCTAAATTGCTACCCAACAGTGGATAAAGAGGCAACGTGTGTTCGGTGCCAATGTTCGGGAACGACTATCTCTGGTGTTAGCTTAGGCATGATGGGCACGTCAAAGAGTCTGACAAGCGGATCATCATTTCAGTGGGCTCTTCTGGATATCAGTGATCACTGGGAACCTACTCTGATCAGGAATTCGCACAGTTTCCAAATCAAAACATTCTATTTTATTTTGCGTTCAGGTGTGGAACTAGTCGGTCCCTCAAAGAGAGTGTTGACGGGCATCATCTGTGAGCTATACTGGACCTTTGGAGTGTTCCTGGCAACAACAATTGCATACTTTGTGCGAGATTGGCGTCATCTGCAGCTGATAGTTTCAACGCCAACAGCTTTGTTTCTGGCATATTACTGGTAACCCAGTTTACTTAGAAATTGGATTCTTATGCATTACGTGGCACATTACTCATTTGAGGATATTGAGTGCAACCAGAAGTAGATTGTCTTGCGTTAACGCGATGCATTATTCATTTGGAGACATTGAAATGCAACTAGAAATATGATTCTCTTGCGTTTAGGTGACGCATTATTCATTTGAAGATAATGAAGTGCAGTCAAAAATTAGATTCTCTTTCTTTTACGTGATGCATTATTTCATTTTAAATTATTAAGCGCAACCAGAAATAGATGCTCTTGCGTTAACGTGATAATTTATTCATTTGAAGACAACGACAAATGCAAGAGAAATATGATTCTCTTGCCTGTACGTGGCACATTATTCATTTAGAGATATTAAAGTGCAACCAGAAATTCAAATTCGATTCTTATGCCTTTACGCGATGCATTATTCATTTGAATTTATTGAAATGCATCCAGAAATATGATTCTTTTACGTTCAGGTGACGCATTATTCATTTGAGGATAATGAAGAGCAAACAGAAATTAGATTCTCTTTCTTTTACGTGATGCATTATTCATTTAAAGATATTAAGTGCAACCAGAAATAGATGCTCTTGCGTAACGTGATGCATTATTCATGTGAAGATATTGAGCGCAACCTGAAATGGAATTCCCATGAGTTAGATGGCACATTATTCATTTGAAGATATTGAAGTGCAGTGAAAAATTAGATTCTCTTGCGTTTACGTATGCGTTATTCATTTGAAGATATTGAAGTACTACGAGAAATTATATTCTCACAGTTTACGCAGCACATTATCATTTGAATATATTGAAGTGCAGCCACAAAAGAGATTCTCTCGCTTTTACGTGATGATTTATTTATTTCAAGATATTGAAGTACAACCAGAAATTAGATTCCCGTGTGCTACGTGGCACATTATCCTTTTGAAGTTACTGAAGTACAACCAGAAATTCGATTCTCATGCGTTTACGTGATGCATTATTCATACAAAGGTATTGACGTCCAACCAGAAATAAGATTCTCATGCGTTACGTGGCACATTATTTATTTGAAGATATTAAAGTGCAACCAAAAAAGAGATTCTCATGCGTTTACGTAATGCAATAATCCATTCGAAGATATAAATGAAGAGCACCCATGACTGCAAAATCCCATACGGCGATTTATCTTACATATCAAAGTTCGCCATAAACAATAATGGACATAACTGAGTTATACATACAAGTAGGCTATGCTTATTCTAAGAGACTTGTCAATATTCTATATTTGCTACTTTACTTGGAGAGGGTTTTGGAATTCCAAGTTTACAGCTTTCTTGTAATCATTTGCTATTTATGGCCATGCTTGATAATAGCCATAGATAAGGCCATACTTCCATACATTTTATGACATTATATAGGCTATAAGTGAATTCACGATTAAACTTCAATTTCCGTGAACTAAATGATTGATATATTGTTGCTACTGACCTGCATCCCTGCATTCATATTATGCACAGGTTGAAATAATAGGCGAAACTGAATATTATCAAAGTGAGGACATTTTATTTGAAATCCGCTGATTAAATGGTCACCAGGGGTCTAATTGGTAGTCAGAACACGTTTGATCCACTGATTTACATTACTATTCATGTTAATCAAGAAGGCAATGCTTACCCTCATATATGTCTCAGTTTGACACAAGGTACACATAGCAACATTGGATTGGATACCACATATCACACTATAGGTTAATCTGTCATGCATATCAGACAAATTACTTTAACTCTGTGTTGTAAATCTAGAATGGCAAACCGATCAGATTAAGGTATATAAAACTGCCTGGAAAAATAAATAGGTCAATGTTTAAGGGTGGCTATAAATTAAACAATCAAGAAATGGTTATTCGATGGTGATGTATTTAATACACCTATTTTTGTTGTGTTTAAACCCTACATCTGCAGTATTCTCCTTGTAACGGTTTGATAATGTCTGACATTTTCGGTCTAACTAAATTTTGCAAAGTGCAAAAGTTATGTTCCAGGAGGTATATATATCCGTACATAGAATCTATTATCATTATTATCAACAATATGCACTTACAGGTTTATGCCGGAATCTCCGCGCTGGTTGATTAGTAAGAGAAAGTTTGAAGAAGCAGACCGGATATTACGTCATGCCGCCAAGATCAACAAGACGACCTTGCCCCCCAACATATTCAGTCAAGGCATGTTACAGAAGAAGACGGAGGAACCGCTGTGTCAGATATTCACAAGTCCTTCTTTGGTCATCCGTTCCCTGGTGATTTTTCTCAACTGGTATGCTTACATTGTCAACACTTAATGCTATGTGTATGAAAATGTGAAAATAGTAGTCGATACTTCATCTTATATTATGTGTTTCATTCCCCAAAAATTCTTTAGTTTTTTGGATCCACCTCCATTTGTAACTACTCGTATCATTGCGGCAAACCGGATGTCGACTCCACTCTCCTACCCAGAGTTCCATGCGGCAAGCCAGCATAGTATCTCTGCCACAGGCCAGAAAAATGTGACGATTCGTCACATCTTGCACCGTCCATTCAATATAACTTACATATTTCTCAACTCTTTTATTTTTGACGAGTATACACAACTAATTAAAGATCTTTGATAGAATGGTTTAGTTTCATTGAGAAAATATCCTAAAACATGTGACACTATTTCGATTTGCGTAGCGATCCTTTGTTTACATAGGTTGTACGGCTCCACGTGTTGTCATCGGAGCTGATGGAGAGCAAACGATGCAGCCAGTTTGATATCTAAATATGTACTGTCATAGACCAGTTGTGGAAGAATATATATGTAACAATGTAAAACATTATGAAGAGAGCGCCGAAAAGCTTTCGTGAGTCCAATCTCTTCTTATTATGAATATGCGCGTTTGATTACAAACAAGAGAAAAGTCCGGTCACGTGATATGCAAATTAGCCTGTGGCAGTGATGTTATGTTAAGTCATCGCTGTGCCGGAGTGTGTGTCGACTCGTGTTCACGACTGGGCTTTGTCTAAGCGCAAACAGGCACGGAGCTGAAAATAGTCTGGAACTATTTCCAAGGAAAGATAACTCTGAATTTAGAGACATGGTTACACCTAGGAAACAACAATTAGTTTTTAATGCAACACGAACGTCGCTTTAAGTAAGTTTCTTATGTCGTTAACAAACATCAGTAACAAGATAATTTTATAATCACGGAAATAATAATGAAAATCGATAATCTCAAAGGAACTGTTTGACCTCATTCCACATTTTACTATTCGCAATTTGATTGGTTTGCCACGATGCTTGGCAATAATGGCGTACTATACAGGTACGAGTCTTCTTGTAAGTCACGGAAAGAGGCGAATAGTTACGAATGCTCCTTTAGCGTTACAGAAATGTCCAATATCAGTAACCATTAAGAAGAAACTGATTTTGTAGACTCAGTGTTTACACTGTTTGTCATACTGTGGTACTAACGAATCCACACCAATCTAGGTCATGATATAATAGGAATCATACAACGGACTCTAATTTTCTCGATTTTGTATATTACAAGTAGTTCATTGAATTGTTTCACCTTCCAGGTTCGTGGTCAGCCTCGGCTTCTATGGCCTGGGTCTAAATGTGGCCAGTCTTGGTGGGAGTGTCTACACGAACGTATTCATCAGCGCAGGAGCCGAGCTGGTCGGCCATATTGCCTGCCTTCTACTCCTGGACCGTATTGGTAGAAAGTCCTTGCACTGCACCTGTATGCTCCTCGGCGGTGTGTGCTGCACAGCGACCCTCTTACCTGTGGTGTATGGAGGTGGATGTAAGGAATCATTGTATTAAAACGCATATATAAATGTCATGTATGACAGATCTTGTATTGTGACCTGAATACTGAACATCAATCACCGTAAACAAATACCATTTTTCTAAATATTTTGATTAGACGATGCAAGGGAATCGCATCACCGAAATTCCATTCGTAGCAAACGTATTTCCACGAGACAACGGAGAGGGCACTTATTGTTTGAACCTATGTCCGCTATTAGAACCTCAAATGCCTAAATAATTATGTACGTAAACTTTCTGCCCAGCTCTCAACTGGCTGACCATTACCCTAGCTTTGACTGGTCGGGGGTTTGCAGTGGCCAGTTTCGACGTCATCTGGTTGTATTCTTCGGAACTGTTCCCAACAGTCATCAGAAACTCAGCTCTGGCAGCTGCTAACATAAGTGCAAGGGTGGGAGGAACTATATCTCCTTATATAGCTAACCTGGTGCGTATTTTATGTTGTGCTCGACAATGGTTTTGTCACGAGGAAAACGCCTTTTACAAAAACAGCATCTGTGTGAAGGACTGAAAGATAAATACTTCCAGATTAATCCTTGTAACGCTAAAACTGCCATCAAGATGTACTGTCAGTGACAGTCTTAGTACCTATAATGGCAGATCCATTTTATATAGTACTAAGACCCCGTCAGTGACAGTATATACCTTGATGGCAGTTTTTAGCGTTACAAGCCCCTGTGTCCAGATCAAGAACTGCAATTTGAGATCTTGCGGTTTTGCGTAAAGACTAAGAAATTACTCTTTGAAAGAGATATCGTTGTTGTGCCTCGAGTATTAACGTCTGCAGTGGCTGCAGTACCTGTCCAAGCCAAGCCAATATTATTCAGTTATTTTAAGATGATATGCTATTATAGTTATGTTGGTAATCGGTGAATAGATGTGTCAAAGTTCACGGACCTACGTCATGCCTTCGAGTTTTCCGAGATTCGACACACCGAATAATGATGACTAACGAAAGCTTACAAAGTGACCAAGCTGTTACTTCAAAACAAAGTCATATTTGACATAACGGCATTTGTCTGTATAGAAGGAATAATGTGCAAGCTCTTGCTCAGTTATTTTTTATTAAAGTAATATCATTCACAGGCTCTCGTAATAACAGGAGACTTTGGCAGGGCCGTTCCTCTCATCATATTTGGTACGTCAATGGCAGTGGCCGGACTGGCAGCTTTGGCATTGCCTGAAACTCTCAACAATCCACTCCCCGATACGATAGAAGACGCCAGGCAAATGAAAAGGTAAGCGAGATAGTCGATGTGTTTTTATTATTAATTCAGCGATACACGTGACCTGAAAACCAACAGGACGGGTGGCCTTCTCAAGCACCGAGTTGCGACCCTTTGCTTTTCCAGAAACGTACGATTGGGTTTCTAGGTTTATGAGAACCACAAGCACGCCCATGGGTTTTACCTAACTGGTAAACATCTAAGGCTTGTATGTATTCAGGCTTATCGTTCCACGGTAAGCTGGCATTCTTGGATATGCCTTAGAATAAACTCAATGGTTCGTCTTGTGTTTCAACCCTGATTGATAGCATACTGTTTCTGATCATACAAACTCACTTCTATATCCCAACACAGGCTGTTGTTATATTTAAGCCAAGACAGTTTTGGGTCTTGTTTCAGGAGAAGCCGAAGGCCTGATATTACCCGAACTGACTATATCCGATCTAACGGTGAAGAATTGGCGGATCTACAACCAAATGGATGTGTCTCATCCACTAAGGCTAGAGTATAGATATTTTGTAGATAGGCAAACGTATCTATGTAAAAGGTTGATGGATATGTATACCTTCATCGAATCATGATATTGTAGCAACGTCAACGTCAACGTCAAAGTTTATTTTATGCATTCTTGCAAAATATCTTTGTTAGAAATACCATCTCTGTGTTCGCCTGGTCGAATCCGTACTGCACCGGGAATGTGGATTACTCAAAAGACGTTATCAACCTGACGTTGTGTTGACAATGTGTGTGTTTCAAGCATGCCTATGCATCCTAGGCCGTCAAACGTGGTCTTTGACACTGGAGCGATATAAGCTTTCAGTTGCTCCATCCTCTGTAGCAAATGTTGTACTCCCGGACAGTGATGTGCCACGATGCATACAAACACAGGCTAACAAGCATCTAGCGCACACCATGCCCTTGGCTGTATCCATCGGTTCGTCAAGAAACTGAGGATCTGTAACGTCATCCAGTCATTGTGTACAATCGGGTTAGTGCGATGATTATAACCATCAAAACTCGACTGTAAACAAATATTACGTTTGTTTATATTTGATATCCATAACTGACCAATAAAGAGTTATGTATAGGATTTTGTTAATGCTCCGCGCAGTTTCCGAAACATTACAGCCTTTACGAGTACAAACACAACATCAGGTCATCTTGTGTTAAATGATGTTGAGGTACATGTGGATGTTTGACACATGTGATCATATTATTATGCTTAATGAGTTCAACCTTCACAGATTGTGAACATTCTTTGAGAGGCATTTTAGAAGTTGTAAAAGCCTTGGCTTTCCTTGATTTTTAACATGTTTGCGTCGTGTCCAATGCTGCAATTGTGTATACATATATGTCCCTGTTAACGCCAAAGATTACCATTATGTACATACTTCACAATTATCACTATGCAATGCTTCCATTCATGTATTGTCACTTGTATCAGCAAATTACTGTGTATTGATCAGCAAATTATTTCATTTTGCATTGTATGTTTTTGTATGATGTTTCAAACAATTGTAACATGCAAAAACACAATGTTTGGCTCAATCATAACAGCAGAGCGCCAAACTGTATCAAGTCCCATTTCAGTGCTTACAAAATATACACGTACGTATATTTGTTTCATTGTTGACATGCCATGGAACGAAAGGAGTCACGTGTCCCAATGCATGGCGCAAACAGATACCCAGAAGGCCATGAGAGTTGCGGTTTGTCATGAAATTTGAAGATTGTAATTCATACGACAATAAATAAAATTGTGTATGGCCGTGTGCAGTCGTATGTCAAGCAAGTTAACCTCGAACTACTTAACTGTATCATTTACGACCAGTGTGAGATAGCCACTGGCCCGCTAGCCCGTGGCTAGTAAAAATCCAGTCGGGCCAGTAAATCTCCCCAGTCACTGGCCGACTGGCTCGTGAATTGTCATGGGGTCATTTTGTAAATATATCACTTCATCCAACTTGTTAAGTTATAATATAGTTTTAATTCATGCAAGAACATGGCCTGATAAAAATGTTCATAATATTAACAGCTTAATGATGAAACCAATGTCATTCCGACAATATTTGGTTCTCATCTATTTTTGTAATCTTTTGCTTAGTTTCTACATTCAAATTATTTTGTGGGCTAGTAACTTTCAGGCATAGCTAGCCCAACTAGCTAGCAAAATTTGGAAACTATTTCGCACACTGTTTACGACAATGCACCGTATTCGCCAGATCCCGTCATGGTATGAGTCGTCACAGGTTTTAGAAGTTAATGCGTTTTCATTTTAAAATCAAAGGTTTTACTGTGTAATGGCTGTATTAAGACAGATGGATTATATCTGATCATAGAATTATATCTGTGGACTAGAAACCCTGTCTCGTTTCGTATTGGCTAGGCATTGACTTCAAATCAATTGTTCACGATGAATCCTAAAAAAATACCTCAAAATTACAATGCCTTTTTACATATGAACATTGCGCATCAAAACATCAATCTATCGACTGTCTACGCCTTGGTGTATATAGAAGTGGCTCCTGGTAACCTATTGGAATTGTATACTACCGATATCGGCTTGCAAACTAGATGAAATATGTTTCAGAACACACACATAAGAAAGCACACTATATACATGTATACTGTGTCAAGGCCGAAATAATCTCTTAGAAATATGAACAGTCGCACACTGACGTCTCGTCTCTGGCTGAAAACGGTGGTTCTTGTACTTCAAGGCAGTTCCGTTGGCAATGAGATTGTGCCAGCTAATGGTACACCTTTGGAATTATCTTTTTCATGTTTAGTACTACGTGATCCCTAGGTTACCAGATCCGTAAAGATCCGGCTTTGAATTGGTCTTCAGCAACCGCAAGAGGCGATCTGCGGGATCGGGTGGTCAGGCTCACTGACTTGTTTGACACATGTCATCGTATCCCAATTGCGAAGACCGATGATCATGATGTTGATCACTGGATTGTCTGGTCCGGACTCGATTATTTACAGACCGCCGCCATCTAGTTTGAATCTGGCTGAGTGCGGCGTTAAACAAAGAAACTCACAACACAAGTTGTCTATCTGTTTACCTGTCTGGTAGTGTGTGTCCCGTGAGAGCACCGCCTCTAAAGCTCTCCTGTCGTCATTTTAGACCGCACAGACATTTTGGGTAGTAAATCTTAATTCTTTTTATTTAAACCCTCGCACTAAAGCACTGTAGGTATATCTATTCGTGCTATAATTCACAACGAAAAATAGATCTGAAAGCAGTAAACGTAGCTACAAGTCAGTCCTTAATTATTCAGCGAAGTTCTGATTTTATTACTATAATGAAGTACACGTTTGCAGCTGTCTAAAAGCGATAAATTCAATCGGAACATTATTGTAATGACATCAACGACAACAGGTGTAGTGGTATAAAATGTGCTTAGGCAGGGAACTGTTTATGGAACAGTATGTGGATATACACAACAGGATTTGACTGTTGGGATTACTTGATGGATTTATGGTAAGCTGGAACACACATCTTTCATCAGAACTTCAGGACATTTTTTGAAATAATGTAAGCAAGGGTCATCTGACATGATGTTCTTCAGCGTTAAAAACAGCTGTTGATCAGTCACTTGATAGTGACGTGTCATCCACATACACACTGCTCTACACAAAAGCAATTCAAAACGTGTGGTTAGCGTATTTCACGCTTCAAATGTATAACGAGAAATTCATTTGCAGTTTAACTGTCAAACTATTATTCTTTCATGTTTGTTAAAAGTCTCAATATAGGCGACGTAGTTCTATTCGGATTATACCCGTGAAGATCCGGGTTAGAATTGATCTTCAGTAACCTATGCTTGTCGTAAAAGGCGACTAACGGGATCGGGTGGTCAGGCTCTCTGACTGGGTTGACACATGTCATCGTATCCCAATTGCGTAGATCGATGTTCATGCTATTATTGCCGATTATTTACAGAGCGGTGCCATATATCTGGAATATTGCTGAGTGCGGCGTAAAACTAAACTCACTCACTCACTCACCTTAGAAGCAAGCGTTATTGTAACATGGAATGTTTTCATTTGTGATCTTGTGCATGCGTGCGTTAAATTGGTCGAAGAAACAACCAAACAATTGTTCGAATAGCATGAAGTGTGCAAGAAGTATGACATAAGGTAAGCAATGTTCACTTTAAAAAGACAGACAACCAGATGTTTATCATTTCAACTAAGTGAAGTCCTGGAACAGATTCGACATGTCACGCCTTGGGGAAAATGACAGATGGAGAGCTAAAGGCATGCTTCAGTTTGGTACCTCACAGCGTGACGTCGTTGCTCGTCAATTCAACGCCCATAGAAACACAATTTGGCACTTATGACCACCCAAACAAGTCACTGACCGTCCCCACAGTAGCCGTCAACCAGTAACGACCCCACCTCAAGACCAGTGGATTCGAACCACCCACCTTTGACACAGGTTCCACCAAGCAGCCCTTACAGCCCGTATCATACCTGGCAACACAGGTGTATATGCGAAACAGTTAGACAACGTCTACGCGTCTACGACATTCTTGTTAGACGCCCAGCCAGATGGCCAATTCTGACGCCAAAACATTGACGTCGACGTCTCCAGTGGAGCAGACAACACTTGCAATGGAGAGCACGTGTGTTGGGAAGAGTTCTCGTCACCGACGAGTCACATTTCCTTTTTCGCCGAGCTGACAGCAGAGCAAGTGGCTTCCGTGCCACGCAGGATCCCCTGAATTGTCACCAATTGATGACACCCCTATTTCCCCAGAACAAAATGGGTGCCCCCCCCTCCTCCTAAATCATCACCACCCTCAGTCTCCCCCCACCCCCAGCCATCAATTATGAACGGTCCCTAATAATATTTAAATATTAAGTTTGTATATGATGAAGGTAATACAAGGGCATCTTTGCACAATTGGTAACAAGGAAAAACATATTGTTATATTTTTATCATTATTGGATATTTATGTAGCGCACATATCCACGCACTAGTGCAAGTTCAAGGCGCTGGTATTTATTACAAAGAAGTACATTAATGAAATAATGGCTATTGATGTACACATGCATACATTTAAAATATTTTTAACGAAGATCGTGATATATTGGGCACTCAAACATGAAGTGAAATTATCTTCAATATTAATACTATTACAAAGTCTTTGGTGCCTGAGTAATCCATCCTGCCTACCAGAATTTTTAAATAAACAAAGTGCACCTATTCTTAGTAAAGTAATTCTACGTCTCGCATCTTCAGATTTGATAAAAAAGTAGATATAGTTCAATACCGAAAATCTGTTTAACTGATGAATAAACATCTAAAGATGATAATTTATGCAAATCTTCAAAACTTGATTGTTGATGGCAGTTTTGGTAAATTGTTGTACAAATAATTCCCCTACTCCTTGTGCCTCCCAGACATAACTAAATCCATAATTGAATAAAATATAATAAAATAAAATAATACATCCATGTCCTCCTACCTGCTCTGTCAATATTACACAGCATGATATAACATTGCTTAGTAACTCTTATGGACGTATATAATTATAGGAAATATATTATAATATATGGCATTTACGGTATATGACCAGCAAGCTAAATTATATTATTTATACAGGTTTTGGAAATAAGGAGTATGCAACATGTCACTGTGAAAATGTGGAATTCGCGAAAATGTTCACCATTATTTTATGGAAAGTGGAAACTCAGCAAGGACAAAAATGTTATATCCGAGGCTTTGGAATGAAATAAAGGAACACGATGGATATATCTTTTATGTTGAAATTTAATTACAAGAGAAAATGAAAAAGTATTTAAACAATATATATGTTGCACAAAACGTTTTGAATGAAATTACTTTCTTCAATCGGCCCTTCTCTCGTTTGAAAACGAAATCGTCTTTTTTCTGATTTCAATATCTGCCCAGTTCTCAAGTTCTATCATTTTCTAAATTGTGAAGTATATATTGTAAATACCTTTTGTACATAATAAGGGAAAGGTGGTGAACGCTGGAGAACGTTCCAAATCCGTTTTACATTTATGACTAAAATAGGTCATCTTTCAAATAATCGTCAAATATATCGGTCGTGTGAGCAGTGAGCCTTCGCCCATACCACAGACATTGTTATCTTGATCCATATTACCGAATTTCTTACCCTTCTAGACGCATGTGTGGAATATTTGTGTCAGCCTCGTTACGAACGTGACCACTCACTAGCCTGACCCTTGCAAATTAAACCTTGTCGAACGTTATTTATTAATTTATGAGGAAAATGAGAAATGGAAACACTTTAAATTTAGTCATCATCTTGTTCATGTTTCTTGAGCACGTCGGGATACTAGCGAATGTTATCTTTACCGATAATTCCGTGGTGTAGCGACAGCGAGATTTTATCCAGAAATTACATCAAACGGTTTGTTATCATTTATTATCTTTCTGTTCCATATATGCATGTGAACCGGACCGGCTGCTTAACCCGCAGGCTTAACATGTGAATGCTTCAGAATCTTGTGCTAAACATTGTATTCATAATCATCTTATGAATATTAACTTCGTGATAATTCCTAGAAAAACAACCTTTCGAATATCTGATAGATGTAAAAGCAGAACAGCATCATGTTATCAAAGATAACGTTACGATAAAGTTGATATTTTAAATTCAAGTAGCAAGACACATCATCACGTACTTTAGATGTTCGACTTAAGAATGATGTCCCCAGCCCCCAATGATAACATGGCGTTATCTCTTACGTTCTTCGTGTAA